CCCACTGATTTCCCCATTGATTTCCCATTGGGTTCCCAGTTGGTTTCCCACTGATTTCCCCATTGATTTCCCTGTGGTGTTTCCCATTGGTTTCCCTGTTGGGTTTCCCCATTGATTTCCTATTGGGTTCCCCATTGGTTTCCCACTGGTTTCCCCACTGATTTCCCCATTGATTTCCCATTGATTTCCCTGTGGTGTTTCCCATTGGTTTCCCCATTGGGTTCCCAGTTGGTTTCCCACTGATTTCCCCATTGATTTCCCATTGATTTCCCTCTGGGTTTCCCATTGGGTTCCCAGTTGGTTTCCCGCTGATTTCCCCATTGATTTCCCATTGGGTTCCCAGTTGGTTTCCCCACTGATTTCCCCATTGATTTCCCTGTGGTGTTTCCCATTGGTTTCCCTGTTGGGTTTCCCCATTGATTTCCCATTGGGTTCCCCATTGGTTTCCCACTGGTTTCCCCACTGATTTCCCCATTGATTTCCCACTGGGTTCCCAGTTGGTTCCCCACTGATTTCCCCATTGATTTCCCACTGGGTTCCCAGTTGGTTTCCCACTGATTTCCCCATTGATTTCCCACTGGGTTCCCAGTTGGTTTCCCGCTGATTTCCCCATTGATTTCCCACTGGGTTCCCAGTTGGTTTCCCGCTGATTTCCCCATTGATTTCCCACTGGGTTCCCAGTTGGTTTCCCGCTGGTTTCCCTCCTGGTTTCCCCTCGTGTCCCCCCGGCTCCCGTCCCACCCACCGATGCCCGCGGCCTCGCGGTACCTCGGTGCGGGCCAGCTCGTCGGCGAGCCGGCGGTTGTGGCGCCCGGTGTCCTCGGCCTCCTGGGCCTTGCGGTCGTAGCTCCGCGCCAGCTCCTCCAGCGCCGCCAGCACCTCGGTGACCTCGGCCCGCGCCGCGCCGTGCTCGGCTCGCAGCGCCGCCAGCTCCCGGCGCGCCGCCTCGCCCCCGCCCCGCGCCGCCGCCAGCACCTGCCCGGCCGCCGGGCACGGCGTCACCGGGGGGGCTCGGGGTCATGGGGGTCCAGGGGTCACCGGGGGGGCTCGGGGTCATGGGGGTCCAGGGGTCACCGGGGGGGCTCGGGGTCATGGGGGGGCCCAAGGGTCAGAGTGAGGGTCCAGGGGGCACCATGGGGGCACGGGGGTCATGGGGGGGGTCCAGCGGTCATGGTGGGCATCCCAAGGGTTAGAGTGAGGGTCTCAGGGGTCATGGGGGGTCCAGGGGTCACAGTGGGGGCCCAGGGGTCACCGTGGGGCCCAGGGGTCATGGGGGGGTCCAGGGGTCATTTGGGGGGCACGGGGGTCATGGGGGGGTCCTAAGGGTCAGAGTGAGGGTCCCAAGGGTCATAGGGGGCGGTCTCAGGGGTCATGGGAGGGGCCCAAGGGTCAGAGTGGGGGTTCACGGGTCAGAGTGCAGGTCCCAGGGTTCCTTGTGGGGTCCCAGGGTTCATGGTGGGGTCTCAGGGGTCATGGTGGGGGCCCAGAAATCAGAGTGGGGGTCCCAGGGGTCATGGTGGGGTCCCAGGGGTCAGAGTGGGGGTCCCAGGGATTAGAGTGGGGGCCCAGAAATCAGAGTGAGGGTCCCAGGGTTCGTGGTGGGGTCCCAGGGATCAGAGTGGGGGTCCCAGGGATCAGAGTGGGGGTCCCACAGGAGGCACAGAGGTCGAGGGGGAGGCTGGGGTTGGGAGGTCCGGGGGGGTCCCAGGGACCAGTCCCAAGGGGGTCTGGGCAGAGTCAGCCAGAGACAACCAGGGGTCCCTGAGGGATTCTGAGGGTCCCTGGGGGGTCCCTGGGGGATCCATGGGTGGTCCCAGAGGGGTCCTGAGGGTCCCGGGGGGTCCCAGGGGGGTCCTGAGGGTCCCTGGGGGGTCCCAGGGGGTCCCGGGGGGTCCCAGGGGGGTCCTGAGGGTCCCTGGGGTGTCCCAGAGGAGTCCTGAGGGTCCCTGGGGGGGTCCCGGGGGGGTCCCTGGGGGGTCCCAGAGGGGTCCTGAGGGTCCCTGGGGGGGTCCCGGGGGGTCCTGAGGGTCTCTGGGAGGTCCCAGGGGGGTCCCGGGGTGTCCCAGAGGGGTCCTGAGGGTCCCTGGGGGGGTCCCGGGGGGTCCCAGAGGGGTCCTGAGGGTCCCTGGGGGGTCCCAGGGGGGTCCTGAGGGTCCCAGGGGGGTCCCAGGGGGGTCCCTGGGGGGTCCCAGGGGGGTCCCGGGGGGGTCCCCGAGGGGTCCAGGTGGGACCCAGGGTTCTGGGGGGGTCCGGGGGGTCAGTCAGACGGGGGGTGGCACGGGGGGGGCAGGGCCAGCACCTCCTCCTGGTCCAGCATCTGCTGCTTCAGCTTCTCCATGATCTGGCTCTGCTGGTTGATCTCGTCATCCTGGGGGCACCGCGGGCACAGGGGGGTCACGGGGGTGGGCAGGGGGCACTGGGGGCACTGGGAGCTGCCAGGGGGCACTGGGAGATGCCAGGGGGGAACTGGGAGCTGCCAGGGGGGAACTGGGAGATGCCAGGGGGGAACTGGGAGATGCCAGGGGGAACTGGGAGATGCCACTCCTGGCTTGCTGAGGGTCTGGGAGCTGCTGGGCAGACTGGGAGGTCCCCAAGTGTCCTGGGGCACTCAGGGGTTCTGGGGGTCCCTGGCAGGTCCGGAGGGGTCTGGGGGATGCCCACCGAGCTGAGGGTCCTGGCATCTGGGTGATGCCCACCTGTCACTGTCCCCACCTGTCACTGTCCCCACCTGGCCCTGTCCCCACCTGTCACTGTCCCCACCCGGCAGTGTCCCCACCTGTCACTGTCCCCACCTGTCACTCTCCCCACCTGGCCCTGTCCCCACCTGTCACTGTCCCCACCTGTCACTGTCCCCACCTGTCACTCTCCCCACCTGGCCGTGTCCCCACCTGTCACTGTCCCCACCTGTCACTGTCCCCACCCGGCAGTGTCCCCACCTGTCACTGTCCCCACCTGTCACTGTCCCCACCTGGCCGTGTCCCCACCTGTCACTGTCCCCACCTGTCACTGTCCCCACCTTGTCGTCCAGCTGCTTGTAGAGCTTGCGGATCTCCTCCTCGTACTTGTGGCGCTCCTCGTCCGAGATGTGGATGACGATGGAGGAGCTGTTGTCGTTCAGGGGGGGCTCCTCGGGGGCGCCCCCCTGGCCCTCGCCCGGCCCCGTGCCCGCCTCGGCCTCGCTCAGCTGCTCGGTCTCGGGCACGGCCTCGCCTGGGGGGACACGGCCTCAGCGCCCCCACCCCGGCCTGGGGGGCCCCGGGTCTCGGGGCGCCCCTCCCGGTACCGGGGTGTCCCTCACGGGCACACGCTGTGCCTCAGTTTCCCCCCGGATCTCGGGGCGCCCCTCCCGGTACCGAGGTGCCCCTCCCGGGCACATGCTGTGCCTCAGTTTCCCCCCCGGGTCTCGGTGTGCGCCCCAGCTCTGGGGGTGCCCCCGGATCTCGGGGCGCCCCTCCCGGTACCAGGGTGCTCCTCACGGGCACACGCTGTGCCTCAGTGTCCCCCCCGGATGTCGGGGCGCCCCTCCCGGTACCAGGGTGCTCCTCACGGGCACACGCTGTGCCTCAGTTTCCCCCCCGGATCTCGGGGCGCCCCTCCCGGTACCAGGGTGCTCCTCACGGGCACACGCTGTGCCTCAGTGTCCCCCCCGGATCTCGGGGTGCCCCCCAGCTCTGGGGGTGCCCCCGGATCTCGGGGCGCCCCTCACCGCTCCGCCAGCGGCTCAGCTCAGCCTCCAGCCGCGCCAGCGTCTCCCGCAGCGCTTTGTTCTTCTCCTTCTCCTTCTCGAACTTCTTCTTCCACTGCTCGGCCGTCAGCTCCAGGTTCACCGAGGCCGTGTTCTTGATGGTCTTGGCCCTGGGGGGCACCCCGAAAATGGGACCCCTGCTCCCCCTCCCCGGGACACTCCCGGGACACTCCCGGGCCACTCCGGGCCAGTCCCGGGCCACTCCCGGGCCACTCCAGGGCCACTCCCGGGCCACTCCCGACAACTCCCGGGTCACTCCCGGGCCACCTGCCCTCCACTGCCCTCCCACCTCTGGGGACCCCAGCGCAGCCCCCGGGGTCCCCAAGGGAGCACTTAGGGGGCACTGGGCACTGCCAGGGTGCACTGGGAGTACTTGGGGTGCATTGAGAGCACTTGGGGTGCAGGGGGCACTTGGGGCACATTGGGTGCAGTTGGGGTGCACCGGGAGAGTTTGGGGTGCTCTGGGGACACTTGGGGCTCACTGGGTGCACTGGGTGCAGTGGGGTGCACTGGGTGCAGTCGGGGTGCACCGGGAGAGTTTGGGGTGCTCTGGGGACACTTGGGGCGCACTGGGTGCACTGGGTGCAGTGCGGCGCACTGGGGGAGTTTGAGGTGCACTGGGTGCACTGGGTGAGTTTGGGGTGCTCTGGGGACACTTGGGGCACGCTGGGTGCAATGGGGTGCGTTGGGTGCAGTGGGACACACTGGGTGCACTGGGTGCACTGGGTGCAGTCGGGGTGCACTGGGGGAGTTTGGGGTGCTCTGGGGACACTTGGGGCGCACTGGGTGCACTGGGTGCAGTGGGACACACTGGGTGCAGTGGGGTGCACTGGGTGCACTGGGTGCAGTGGGACACACTGGGTGCACTGGGTGCACTGGGTGCAGTCGGGGCGCACTGAGGGAGTTTGGGGTTCTCTGGGTGCACTGGGTGCACTGGGTGCTGGGGCCCACGGGTGAAGTTGGGGTGCAGCCGGGGGTCCGTGGGTGCGGTTGGGGGTCTCGGGCACTCTCGGCACGGGGCGGGGGCAGCGGCTCCCGGGGGCACGGCAGGCGGGGCAGGGGGCGCGGGACCCCCGGCCCCGGGCGGGCTCGGGGGGCGCGGGGGGCGCGGGACCCCCGCCGCACCTCTGGCCGAACATGAGCGTGGATTTGGTCTCGGCGTCGTTGTAGCTGGACGGGGAGCAGCAGATGAACATGGTGGTGCGGCAGTTGCCGCCCAGCGAGTCCTGCAGGATCCGCGTCATCTTGCTGTCGCGATAGGGCACGTACGCCTTCTGCGGGGGAGGGGGCTCAGCGCCGGGACCCCCGCGGGACCCCCGAGAGGGGACACGGGGGGCTGGGACACGGGGACGGGGAGAGTGGGACCGGGGACAGCGGGAGCGGGACACGGGGATAGCGGGATCGGGACACGGGGATAGCGGGATCGGGACACGGGGACGGGGAGCGGGACACGGGGACGGGGAGCGGGACACGGGGATAGCGGGAGTGGGACACGGGGGGCAGGGGGCTCAGGGGGACACGGGGACGGGGAGCGGGACACGGGGACAGCGGGAGCGGGACACGGGGGGCAGGGGGCTCAGGGGGACACGGGGGTCGCGGGGGGACACACAGCGGGTTCAGGGGGACACGCGGGGATCAGGGGGTGTCCCCCTCGCAGGACCCTGGAGGGGACACCCGGGGGGCAGGGGGCTCAGCAGGGCGGGACACACGAGGGGCTTGGGGGGACACCCGGGGGGCTCGGTGGGACACATGGGGGCAGGGGGCTCAGAAGGGTGGGACACACGGCGGGGGGGCTCAGGGGGGTGTCCCCCACCCCAGGACCCCCGAGGGGGGCACCGAGGGGGCGCACGGGGGGAGGGGGCTCAGCAGGAGTGTCCCTTCCCCCGGACCTGGGGGGACATGGGGGGCGGAGCGCACCCGGGACCCCCGGGCTGAGCCGGGGGGACCCCGGGGGGCTCCGGGGGGCTCCGGGGGGCGCGGGGGTCGCACCGTGCCCTCGGCCAGCGCCGAGATGACGTTGCCCAGCGCCGACAGGGACTTGTTGATGTTTTTGGCCTCGTCCAGCACGGCTCCCTCAGCGCCCGTCTTGCTC